GAGCACGAACATTGAACGCGGCCAGATAGACTGGGTGTCGAGGCTTGAGGATTGATTTGGAGATTCCTGAAGATGTCGGCACCATGTGACGAGCAGATGCTGCACGCAAAACCGATGCATAACGAACGGAGTCATCAGTCCTAGGTGCTGGGCCTACAAGAAGAGAGTTGTTAATGGGGTGGGGAGAGGGGGAAGATGTATGTGAAGGAGAAAGAAGGGAGGTGTCAGCAGTAGCCTGTTTTCGCCTACCCGCCCTGCTGTATGCAGCAAGTAAGGCGACCCGGCTGATGGCACCACGCGACGGCCGATATGGCACGAGTTTATTTGTGTATGTACAATTCATGGTTGTACGTGGGCTGGGATACTGCCAGAGCGCCCACACCTAGACAGGAGGACGATTAGGGTCCTCAACCAGAGCTTTTGGCTCAAAAGCCTAACCGCAAGGCAGCGGTGTTTGGCGGGAAATGCAAATGAATTACCATTTCTACGGAACAAGTCGCCACAAGTTCCAACCCACAACCTGGAGGGCCAGGAGACTGTGTTCGTCAGACCTCTAACCATTGACCAACCTGGTATGAGAGACTCTGTGAGTGTCGCCGGACACTCTCCAGTATAGCTCAATGGATCGCTGAGGTGCGCAAACCGTCACACCACGGTAAGGTCAAGTCTCTTCGTGATGGTTCAAATAAAGTGTTCAAATAACGCCCGGTCGTGCAAAGCGGTGGGGCAACACACTGCACACTCGTGGTAGTTCTTGGGGCTGTCTGTCCACGGTACACTCACTGAGGCCATATAACATGATAACGCTTGTTAGATATATACAAATACTCGCTGCTGGCAGTTTGTAGTTTCTATAGGAGAGTAAAATTATCATTGTGATGTACCATAGTATACGCCATACTGAGCTCTCCTTCCTCTTGTATCTACTTGATGAAATCGGCCAGCTGACTTCACCCAGCCTTCGCAAACTAAAAATTGCAAAACATTTGATTGTTTTAATATCGACATATGTGATATTTGTTTAATTTCGGGCTTCAGACCTTCCACTCAGTTCCGTAACATCGTTTCGGTCAACCGTCAGGCAGGCCGACTAACAACCAGCCGAGCCCCACCTGAGAAATTCGCAACAAGAAAGGCTCAGAGAAGCTATCTCTTGTGTGGAACACTAACTCGATCATTGAACAGTCTCCGTCCCGTGAAGCAGCCTCAGGCCGGTTAGCCAGGAAACTGGGCCCACGAAGCCATTCTTTTTTGCTCTCTCCCACGAACTGAGTGGCTAGTTTTGTTTTTTATGGGGGGTTCAAACAAGGTTTATTGACACGATTCAGCGATGTATAAAGTTCCATCCCGTGATGTCGTATGCCTGAAATTATACAAATACTGTACATATGTAGTCGGAAATGAGGTATTTATTGTGGGCGCACAGTTTGCATGAGAGGGTATAATGATGTATTCTTTGCTAGCGAATCATCCAGGTTTGTGTGGTATGACCTAAATGTCATCATTGTGAGAGACCCACTTAGCCAAGCAGTTGAGTTCCTCTCCAAATCGTCCCACTCATTCTGTGCTTCATCACACAACACACCACACACACTTTACAGCTATGTTCAATCCATGAGGTGAAGTGATACACAAGTTTTACGCCTTGTTTTATGACTGAAAATCATTCCACACCTGCCGCAAGGAAAGATTCCGCATGCGCGCGGTAACATGTCGAATGCAAATCAAAAATGTACTAAAAAGTACCGTCACAGGCATCATGCCAATTAGTTCATCTTCGAGTTCAGTTTCAAGCACAGGTATTAGAAAGTAACACCCTGGATTCTTGTTGCTTTTTCTACTTTGAGCGTATGAAGATTTCAGTATAGTGTGATAAGCCAAAGAACAAGAGCTACCTTCCTTAGGCTGAAGCGAGAACAATGAGGTGATCCCAGTCGGTTAGATGTCAGGAAATATCTTGAGGATATTGCCTGGGTTAAAAACAAACCAGCACTAAAATGGGTACCGCTTAAGAAATAAAACGTGTCTGTGATAATTTTTCGCCGAACTTCAATGAAGTATATGCTTTCCAGCCAACGGTACAATGACCCGAGACCCATCCTTAGACGCAAACCGTAAACTGCTCCAAAGCGTAAAATGAAACAAGGGAAAATTCACACGGAAGCTTACCATTTGATGGTATTGTCCATCGGTGTAAGATCTCTTCAGGTAGTAGCACGTTTGTTTAAGTTCACCTAAACGAACTTCAGGTCTACCCTGGGGGCAGAATTCCTCCTTCTAATGACATTCCCAGTCCTATTTGTCTGTGGAGGCAGTGAAAGGTAGTGACGACTTGGAATCTCCACGTTTGTTACCCTCACTGCATTCTCAAATGCTTTCAGGTGTATGCAAAAAGTAATTACGTATATTTTGCCTCCGCAAACCAGCGGGAGCTTGCAACTTTTGCACGGAAAATGCCCTATCTTCGGAGCAGACATCCTGCCTGACAAGGCCAAGGCCAGGGAATTCGTCACATTTCGGTGTTGTGAATTTTTACGACCAACAGTACACACTGTAATGAGTGCCCGGCGAGGTGGTATAATGCCACCTTTAAGTTGACTCCTTACAATATTAGGCATATCCACTCAAAAAAGCTAGTTTCTTCCCTACCGACTCCTGATACGCTCTGAGTTAAAGGAGTGCTACTGGGGTCCTGAATCCCTCCATCGCAGTTGTGGCAGTGTATTGCGGAAGCATCTGAAAAAAGCCAATCACATAAGATACCTAAGAAAAGCGCGTTACGTGCCCGTCTCCATAGTTGTATGAGTCGATGACTACGTTTCCGTAATTAATAAGTGCTATTTTATCGGTTCTCGCAAAACGCCGTGAATGTGACTGTTTCAGTGGTGGGTGCCAACAGCGGTTGTGCATGCCGCGTTATTCGCCCGCAAGGAGCAAGTAGCCCCGCTTGGATTGTATTCAGGCGTTGTAAACTTTGGTGTTACTCACGAATACGAAGCTCCTTGAGTAAATTCTTTTGAGCGCGCCAATTCTGTCGTACATGCGCAACATAATGGTGGTTAGTGTGGAGATCTGGCGATCTGTCATGGATGACTTTTTCAAAAGCAAGCGCATTTTACCATTTCATAAGCTTCTCCGCTTGTTGAAGGATACGCTTTATGCGGTAAAATATTCATCATGGACGGGATGACGTCAGTTGTGCGGACTGTCGAGGTTTTGGCAAAACGCTGTGCTACCCTAACGCAGGGAAGGCCGTCGTAAATCGCGTAAGGTCCACAACCACTTTGACAACTACTAAGGAGTCAATGAAGGCGCACTGTTGGCCACAATGCATCCAGTCTTTATCGTGCGGGGCAGTCTTTGGTTCTGTTTTCCTGCAATCCCTCTGCTTTTCTGGACATATTCTGGCTCAGTGACATCAGGCTTTGCACCGGGGATGGTCACCCACTATCGTGACCACAATAGATATGCAGCAACTTATACTAATTAATTATAACAGGCTTATTTCCCAGCTTGTTTGTAACATTGAGGCACAATCGGGTCATTACAACATGAACTCAGCAGGCAACAATTTAACGGGAGGAAGGTACAAAAACTAGACGTACTCATTACGTGAAAAATCAGCGAGGTTGTGGGGACCCAAATAACAAGGATAATGGGCATAAGGTATGACCAGTTCAATGATGAAACCGTTTGACGTGAACTTAAAGTGAAGATGATTATTGGCCAAGAGTGACCACGGGCAGCTTGGTAAATAGCCAGGTTCACAAGAAGCAAAAACGGAGCTGAAGATGGAAGAATTCGTTGTGTAGACAAATGGCAAGTTGTCTCAGAAATATGGTTTGCACAGAAACTGATATCACTTTTGGGGAGTCAAATGCAAGAGTTATTTTCGATGGGGAGAGGGTTCTAATGCGTAGGGCCGAACTATCACCGTAAATGAGATTGAACGTATGGAAGTAGCAGACCAAAATTGCAGTGGAAAACTAGGTAGGTTAGATTCGAACAAAATATTCAGTGGGTTAGGTGAAACTCGCCCCAGTGGCGATCGTCGCCACGTAAAGATTTTTTGTTGCTGCGATTGCAGGCTCAAGTGGGCGACAGGCGACGGTCGAGGGTCGGAAAAGAATAGTTGCGGGAGTGCCATCGGACTGGTTATGGCAGTGCCATACCGTCGCTGCGCCGACATACTCCGGTTTCTGGACGTTAGGACTGTCGCAATCGGACAGGGGATACGCATTTCCGTGGCAGCTAAGTTAGACGAGGAGGTTGACACAGGTAGGGCCATGCATTAGATTGATTCAGTTAGAAGACCATGTGGGCGTAGACCGGTGACCAGGCGGGCCGGAGGAATGACGGCGTCTGGAGCAAGTGCAGCCAAAGTATGATGCTATTTGCGCACACCTGCGATTAGTCACTTTTGACAGAAATTCACGGGCGCGGCGTTTCACAATTTCGCTCAACTATTTCGTTCGCGAACGGTGTGCCCAGATAATGAGAGCAAGGAGGGTTGTGAGAACAAGCAGCAGTCGTTCACAAACTTGTCCGGAGAGCCGTTTTTCAAATGTCAGAAAAAGCTCCAAAATGATGAGTTAAATGCTCCAAAAAAATGGCAGGAATTTGGACAGCATATCTAAATTTTACGAAGTTGGTAGCACGTATAAGCGAGATATTTGCCGGCGGATGTCAATTATTTCTCGGTCAGGTGATCGTTCTTGTGGAGTTGTGGCGCAGAACAATGGGAATCGGTTTTTGTGTCAGACTGGAAGAGCAGCCTTTCTAAATTTAACATTACGGTGGGCAATAGCCTGACGAAAAAATGGTACTGTCCAAGCTTGTCGCATAATCCTCAGCTTTACTATTATGGGAGACCTAATGCTGAACAGTATGAGGGTGTCTGTATCAGGTGCAACCAATCTATCAATCGCGAGACCCCCCAGTGAAATGTCGTTGAATCGTCATTCATGTGAACCACTGGCAATCACGCATAAGTTTATCCTTTACAAGAAACACGAAGACCACCTCATTAACATGTTTTGAAAATATCTCAGGCTATTTCACCCAAGCCTCAACGAGCACTCACAGTTAGTACCGGCTACATGTACATAGGTAATTCATAAGTTTCCCGGTGGAGGCCTTCTGGGGTTCGTTTTGTGTGTTGATTTTAGCCATCCCTAACAGCCCCTCGGCGAAAGGCTGAAAACTTGGCCAGTGGGATTTATCCATCGAACTAGGATCAGCAGCAGTCATTGCAAACGTATCAAAACATGGCAAACTAAATAGATGACATGCATGATTGCTTGATTGGTGGTTGTTCGGTGTCACAGTTTTGTGCACCCGGTCAAATGCTATGGTGTTGTCACACGACAGAGGTAAGCTTGTCAAATCATTCTTTATGGAGGCTAGTATAAGTTGCTGTTTTGTGGCCGGAAGGAAATCACACCTTGGCCCCAAATGACTTCTAGTGCGGTCCCCTAAGAACCGAACAAACCCTCAGAACCTTTTGCTGTTTTTAATGTAACTCCCCTTAACGCCCGAAAGAACTACATCGCCGAGGACCTGGGTTCAATACCGATTCACTTTTGACGGAGACGATATTTTACTTTAGTGGGAGGTCCGAAGGATACTGAGAATGCCTCTGAGGCAGCGCACGTGAAAACTCAGCCGGCAAACGGATTCCGAAAGAATGATTTCAGACCGCTTGTAGGGCGTCTGTGTGAGCTATGACGCAGCTCATGATTAATGCAGCGGATTGCTGCGACTACTCACCGTGGTTGAGTGAACTTGTGAATGGTTTGAAACGGTTGTATGGGTCCTTTTTATCCCAAACATTCATCAGACGACAGACCAAGGCGATGTGCTCGGCTAATGATGATTGATTAGGCAAACTTGAGCCTGGCAATAATAACATTCTAGTAATATCGGGTGATAAAACCAATTAGTTTCACTAAAGTTCAATAGGTTATGTTCGACCAATACTTGCTACAATAGGATAGGATCTAATGTATCGTAGATCTAAAAATGCCATGCGCCGTTGTTATCGTTGTGTAAGAGTAGTTTTTAGGAATCGTATATGCTACAGATGATCAAAATTGTTGCCGCCCAGATAAAAGTATTTCATCAACATCCACCGTCTAACAGCTGCCTACATGCGCCATGTGCTAGACGTTTCTGGCGAAGTATCACGTCTAGTTTTGCCGCGTCCGGTTCTTTGTTGGGTCTTGATATTTGGCCGGCAACTTCTCAAAATGGGCATTTCTGGGCTGTAGCAGAATTTTATTACCTTGTAGTGATCGTCTTATCTTTACATGTTAAGACTGAGTTAAAAACGATGCTTGTGCCCAAAGACTATATCCCTGTATCGTGTAATTACCCCTTTCGTGTCACTCCAGTGGTCGCCTGATGGCTGATCACAGCTGTCGGTCAGGAAATTTTATTTAGAGTTCCGGCGCGTTCTTCCAGGCATTCAATGAATTTTACCTAATCCGATCCTCCTAAAAACCGTAAAACATTTCTGAAAGCAAAATAAAAACACAGTAAATTCTTTGTTTGGTAAACTACAAAAAGGAGAGATCCTAAACAAACAAGCAGGAAACTCTAAAAAGCCTTCCATTCTTGGGATCTATGACGCTGGGTATTTCGTCCACATTTACTTGTACAACTAAGTTCCTATAGTTGAGATATGCCTCATACAATGTTACGGCCATCAGCTTTTAAGCTTGAGTTACGCGTTCTAATCCACGAAAACGACCATAAAATCCTACTTCTGGAATCACGGTACTCAACGGATTCTCCTCTGCAGATATCATAGGGTTACAAAATAAGGCAGTATAATCACCAATCTGAGGATAAGGCGCAGATGAGTTCGCCTCAAAATCGATATCGTCACAACCACACCGATATTGACGGCAAGCAACCTTAAAAATCACAACGCCTGACCAAAGTTCGTAAGAGTTATGAAAATAGTTCAGTAAAACAAGAAGGTTTCAGTTCGTTTGATCAAGGGGAATAAATATGGGGATTGGCTGCCACGTGTGGTTGGGAACGGGAGAACATTGTTAGTAAGCTGTCTTCTACACACAAATGCATAATTAAACCCTGGAAGTGACAGACTCAAAGAATAATAACAGGTGATTTCTTAAACAGAATAGCAGGATGTGCAATACCCGGAGCTTCAACAACCACAAATTTGGTGTTTTCTAGAATTTTGGCTGAGGACAATACGCCGGGACCATCCACGGCAAGACGAGACACTGGGCATTTTAGGGGCGTACGGATATAAAAACCTCCAGGTTTTTGGGAAGCTTGTAAGCGAAATGATGTGTGTCCCTTTCTTGTCCGTGGATTTGTTGAGTTTGACTGATTCCTTGCTGCATGCGCGCGCGAGTATGTGTCGACGGTATTGCTCGTAGGGTGTGGTGTTGTGTGCTGCGTGTCGACTGGATGAGTTCTGTCCTTATACACATCTAGTGTACCATGAAAAACAACAGTGAAAAATCACTTCAGTCGCTTAACGGGTTCACGGAACCAGCTGTCAAACAAAGGTCGTAATTATTGGCACGAAGTTGACGAGTGACTGTGAGGCAGGCAAAACAGATTATGGATAGTCTGTGCTGCT